ATCCATTCATCTGTTGATGGACACTTAGGCTCTTTCCATGTTTTAGCTATTGTGGAGAGTGCTGCTATGACCATTGGGGTACATGTGCTCCTATGCCTCAGCATTTCTGTATCCCTTGGGTAAATTCCTAGCAGTGCTATTTCTGGGTCCTAGGGGAGTTCTATTGTTAGTTTCCTGAGGAACCTCCACACTGTTTTCCAGAGGGGCTGTACCAGTTTTTGATGAAACTATTTTAAGGTACTTATTCCCTAGTGACATACTGTGTAATAAATTATCCCTAGATTGAGAAGTATGATTCATAATTTAGTTCAGCAGGGGCTCAGGCAGGAACGAGGTGATGGGCAGACATGAAGACTAAGGCCTGGCTGCTATCCCTTAGGAGTCTTCACACTTGTGAAGATGGCAACCTGGGGACATGGGAGAATGAAATACGTAAAAAGAGGAGGAAATTGGGACTCCTAAATCACTTAAATCATCAAAACCCTGCCTTTCTTCCCAAGTTCACATTGTTCTGGCCTCTCTTTCTCCCTTAATGGAATCTTGGGGAGCCATTTTGCACAGCTTCACTCTCCCCAGTAGAAACTCTACCTTTGATGGGGGTGGAGAGGGGTGTAGTTGGAAAGTGTAGGATCACCTCACCTTACTGCTTCCTCCCCACTCCCATCTCATGCATGGAGAAAAATGAACTAAATGCTCCATCACAAATGATCAGTTGTGTATCAAATGAAATGTTTTTGGTTAAAAAAAGAAAGAAAAAAATGACAGCAGGCATCTATTTCATTAAGACTTGGACTCAGTTTTAGATCAAAATGATGAACCATTTTAAAATTCCACTCTCATGAATATCTGCCTTAACCTAGGAGGTTTTCCTTGGTAATAAATGCTTTGTTCCCTGGGTCCTTTCTTTATTATTTTTACATTTCATTTGGTACTGACTCTAAGTTTTGGGATCTAAATGTAGGGAATCTATTTTGACATTTCTATTTCAAAAGCTTTCACACTAGAGAATGAGTCATTCACACTTAATTTCAGAAGATAAGATACTATTTGCTTTGAGTCGATTTGGTTGCATTACATTCTACTCAAAATAAGAAAATCCTTCTTTAAGAAAATAAAAATAAAACAAGAAGTAAAAAGAGGGAAATTGGAAGCTATTACGAAACAATTTGGGAATCCCTGCTTTCCTCTCATGAACTGAATCAAATTATGATTCAGGAAGAGTTCCCATTCTTTTCTCAACATATTTTAAATATAATTATCTCTCATTTCAGAATTGTTATTTTTCAGAAAAATAATGACAGGAACTATATATCCAAGTCCTGTACAATTTCTTTTTTAAAAAAACATTGTTTATTTATATATTTTGAGAGAGAGAGCAGGTGTGCAAGTAGGAGAGGGGCAGAGAGTGAGAGAGAGAGAGAAGGAGAGAGAAAGAATCCCAAGTAGCCTCTGTACTGTTAGCACAGAGCCCAACACTGGGCTTTATACCACAAACTACGAGATCATGACCTGAGCCAAAATCAAGAGTTGGACGCTGAACCAACTGAGGTTACCCAGGGTCCCCTGTAAGATTTCTTTATTACTTTGATTATTCAATGAATATAGAAAACTGAAAGATGAAAGAAAAAATCGAACTTTCACACTATCAGCTTTCAATCTGAAGAGGATAAACAAGAGAGTAAGAAGAAACCCATAACTTGCCCCAGGACGAGATGAGCTTTTATTGTTAATATCAACTATGGACCTGCCTCAGCTCTACCTTTTCACTAATTCCTCTTCAAATCTAGCTTTCATTGATTTTAACTTTGCATCCTTAGTCACTTAAGAAAAAGATAAAGCCAGAATTTCAGAAAAAGTTTGAGGAAATTTAGAAACAATTTTGACCCCTATACAGATTTATCAGTGAACTTTTTTTAATGCTAAGGTAACATACTTCTAACATGAATGAATTGTTCCCAACAAAATAGGAATACCCAGCCATTACCAATAATTAAAGTAGGTGTTTTTGTATGCCATAAGTGACAAATTTCAGATGTTACTTTGAGTTTGTTTGAGGGGGGAAAAGAGGGGGCAGGGAAAGGAAGAGGAATTCAATGCTGTTCTTTGTAAAGTTAACTGTCTTGTTTAAAGTGGAAGATGACGGGGTCAGACCAGTAAAAGAGTCTGGGTACAGATCCAACTTGTAGTTAAAAATTGCCTGTGGAAGGAGGTTGTAAAAAGATAAAAACTCTTTTAACAACTGCTTCAGGAGTGATGTATAATTAGATACCTGGAAAAGTTGCAGAGACCTAGTAATAAGTCAGTTGTGTTTCATAAGCCTCAAACTCAAAGCCAATGTCAGTTCTTCATCCCAGCATTTTACATAATTGCTCAGTGGTCTCTCTGATGTTCTCAAAGTTTGTCCTAAGTCAAAACGTGAAAGTGGTTTTCGGGAAAACTTCATTTGTATTTAGACCTTGGACTTGGTTTCTCCTTACTCTCCTGCTGTTCTGATTGTCCTTTGCTACATGACAATAGGGAAGACATGAAGGAAGAGCCAGAGCCAGAAGAGGGAACCAAGGGAGCAGACACAGACAAAGCCAAACGCTGACTGTAGGGCAACTTGGGATCTCATTTTGTGGTCTATTCCCCGTTGCACATAGTTATTTGTTCTTTTATCTTAATTCGATTGATAAGATCAAGTGACTGGATAATTTTACTAGCTTATTTTTCTTTGATAACAATCTACCCCAAAACTTAGCTTAAAACAACCACCATTTTATCATTACCTCACCATGTGGTGGGGTAGGAATTTGGGCAATTCTTAAGCAACTTGTCACTTTGACTGAGGTCTTCTGGTGGATTTCAGCTGGTGGCTCAGCTTGTCCCTTGGGTCCAAGATACATGACCAGCCCATTGGCAAGAACAGCTGGAAGTCTGTGCTCAGCAGAGCCTAACTCCGTCTCATGTAGTCTAGCACCTCTCAACACATTCTCTGAGGCAGGCCCAGGGCTCCAGGGTGGACTGGCTGCTTTGCTCAGAAGCCAGGCCTAAAACCCACAAGCATCCTTCCAGTTCTGCTCTGTCCAAGCAGTCACAGGCCAGCCCAACTGAAAGACTCAGTTGAAGAAGTATCAAAGTACTCACTGCTATCTTTTAATCTACCGTGCCTGGTTGCTCTTTAAAATTCTTCCTTCTGGTATTTTGCCTCCAAATGTATGCATGGCAGTTAGTTTGTCAATCATATAAGATATATAAATCATAAACAAACATCGCAAATGATTGCATTTGCTGTTAGTTAACAATGTGCATAGATAAGTATAGAAGTGACACTTTGCTTACTGGAAGTGGCAAAATGGAAGGAAAAATAATAAATTCTACCATAGGCAAGTATTGATGGGCACTTTGTAGAAATTTTGCAAAAGTACTTCAGCTGCCTTCTCCTTCTCTTGATTCAATAATCCCACTCAAGATAATTAATCCAGGAAAATCACTCAAAAGGAGAAAAAACTCTATGTACAAACATATTTATAACTGTGTTATTCACAACCTTGAAACACTAGAATTGATGTAAACTTAGGATAAATATCTAAGTAAACTATATCAATATCCAGTTACATTGTGTAGCTATAAATTAATAAATGCCATGCTTCTGTAGAAGCATAAGGCCATTTTTTATCATGAAAAGTAGATAAAGCCAAAAATAAACTTGTAAATGATATGGTTATATAGTTAGATTATGCTTGTGAGAATAGAAAAGGGCAAATAATAAGAAGAAATAACAATAGACTTTATGGAAGTAGTATCTTTTGAATTTGTTTTATTTCATCCTGTTTTAAAGTAGATTCAGTAATAAATATTTTAAAATTTAGTTACCATCCCAGGCCATACCTCAAAAATTCCAAAACATGTATTAAATGCCTTTGGCCTTGAAAACATGTAGAAATCTATTTATAGACATACACAGTAACAAACATCTTTACATAAATAAAATGTGTAATTTATACTTTTATTTTGGCATATCACAAGACAGGGTACAAGGTGAGGTCATGGGAAAAGACTCCCCTGGGTGTTGGCAGATCAGCCCTGGTCCAGGCTCCCCACACTCACAGACGACAAGGCAGAGGATGTAGTAATTCTCCAGTCCTCAGGTTTCCGACTGGTAGAACACGAGGCAGAGAAGGGATCAGCCCAAGGGTCCCTCATGGTTTTTAAATTATTTGCTTCTAGGATTCTAAAGGCATTAGCTTTCTATTTGTTGCCTAGTCAAGGCTGGGTTAAAAAATAAGAAAATGTTCAGAATGTAGTTGTTCTTTATTGGCTTTGGCTGATAAAGAAATGCATGGACAGGAAACAAAGATATTTACTTCAACAGATAATGATTTGGCACTTATTGTCCTAGGTATTGTGACCAACACACAAAATGCCTGCCCTCATGGAGCTTATATTCTAAAGACAAGGGTGTACAGAGACAATAAATAAAATACTTGATTGGTCGCATGGTAGTAAGAAAAATCAATCAGGGTGAACAGGTCAGGGTAAGGCTGCAGGGGATTCTGGCAATTTCAAATAGGATGTTTAAGGAAGAGCCCTGTGAAAAGCTACAACTGGAAAAAAAAAAAAAAAAGAGCCAGATAAGGAAGCAGCTCTGAGAACACCAGTAGGCATTCCCACTGGGCTGGGAAACCGCTGGGGGATTTGAACAGAGGGATGACAATGAGGGACTTCCGTGTTAACAGGCTCACTCTGGCTGCTGTGTTTGGGACAGAATGAAGTAGGGAAAAATGGATGCAGGGAGACTAGTTACAAAGCTAGTCCTAGGTGGGATAATAATAATAATCCAGGTGGGATGGTAACAGGAGAGATGGTGAGATGTGATTGCATTTGGACATACCGTGAAGGAAGAGGTTGCAGGGTTTGCTAAAGAATTGGATGTGTGATAACAAAGGGAAAAAGAGGAGTTAAGGCTAACTTCAAATTCTGGGCCTGAGATGGTAAGGACTAAAGAGAGGGCAGGGTGGGGGTCACAGACGTGACCAGGAGTCTGGTTTGGGTGAGTTTGAATACCTATTAGATTTTTAGTAGCCATCTCAGTTAACCAGTTGGATAGACAAGTCAGGTGCTAGAGGTGAGGTCCTCTGTTAGCATTATAAATTTGGGAATTTATTACCAGTATATAGAAATTTTAAATGATACTAGAGCCATGAGACTGGAAGGATCACTAAAAGAAAATGTCCCGATAGAGTAGAAAAGAGGTCCAAGAAGGAATCCAATGCAAATAGTATGAGAAGTGAGCAGGCTCCAACCAAGGAGATGAGATGAAATGGGCAGCATAATCAGCTGGAGAAAGGCCAGGAGAATGTAGTAGAAACCAAGAGAAGAAAGCATTTCAAGGAGTAGACATCATTTCTGGAATATCAGTTGTTAGTGGTTGAATCTACACTTGCAAATTTTCTATGGCAAGTGAAAATGTCATATGTTTACACTAGCTCCATTGAAGGATGTTTATAATCATGCCTCATAAAGAGAACATATTTGTGTATATGTGTGTTGTATCATTATATTCTAAATAGAGATCATTTTTGGAACATCCAGTATTTCTTAATCTTTCACACCTTTCCCTACCCCCATCATTACAAGTGATTATTTCCAATTAACTCTTACAGTTGTTTTTTCATGTCATATAAATGTTATCAAAATCAATATGGTTACAAATAAAAAATAGTCTAATTCTCAGTCATGTGGGTTTGCCCACTAAAAGCTACTTCTCTTTATTTAAAAATGTTGAATTTACATTAGATTATAGATGTGTAATAATTTGGGAACTCAAGGCACATTATAAAATGAAGCTGCTTTGTGAATATACTCATCATAAGAACATGCTGACCATTTTCTTACTCAAACCGCCTTCTATGTCCAGTTCTGCCTAATAAATCTGGATTCCTTACTCCCTTAGGAGATAAAGCACTTTATTTAAATCACCTTTCCTGATAGTTGATCTAAAAGAAGGGGAAAAGAAATAGATATAACTCACTGACAGCCTCGGGATATAGACATCCTGTCTCCATTCCTTTTAGCTTTTACTGGACATCACGCTGCCAGTCTAATAAGGCAACAAAGAAAAGTAAACAGAAATGAAAAGCAAAATAAATAGCAGTCTTTATCCCACTGGAAATAACCATAAATTTAAAAATGCAATCTTGGCTATATCGTAAAAGGATTTTCTTGGTCTGTTTGCATAGCTGTATTTTATTCGATTCTGAATCCATCTGGACCTTTTTAAAGATTCTTATTGTATACCAATCTTATTTACCCTAAAAATCTTTTGCAAAAAAAAAAAAATTTCTTCAGCAAATTGTGCTATATGTATGCCATATGGCATTGTCATGCATACCCAAACCGTAAATTCTAATCTACAGGGACGAACTAGGTAGCGTAATTCCTAAGATCTGTGTTTTCACAGATCTACCTTGTAGATGCGCTGAGATAGCACAGTAAATATAAGTGATAGGGGTGATTATGAGTAACGTGTAGTATTCCTCGGCTTTACTGACAAATCTTTGACATTAAGTCATGTGCCCTACAAGCCCATGTGCACCTGTCCCCAATGCCTTGGTCTGTTTTACAGTCTTCTTCTGGCACTATCTAATGAAAGCTATAAAATGAGAATGTTTCCTTTCCATTAGACCAGCAAAAAAAAATTTCAGGAATGAAGCCACAAAAATACCATACCATGTTACAGGCCCCATCTTAATAGTAGGCCTAAAAGTAGTTAGCACCAGACCATCACATCAGCTCAGAAGCAACAAACTTCCTTTAGACTTCTAACATTGAAATGTGATTATCACATTTTGTGATTATCACAAAAAATATTGAAGTAAAAAATAGACAATTTCTTAACTCCAGTTTGTTTTCTGACTGACATGATTGTCCAGTAACGTTTATGTTCTACATTTTTCTATGAACCTTTCTTTTCTGTTAGATTGTAAACCCTAAAGGTTAGGAATCAAGGTATATTTAACTCCCCCTTTATCTATTCTATCACAGGACCATAATGGGAGAGAGATAGTCATTCTTTGACTACCAGGTATACAGTGAGAGAAGAAAAGGAGAAAATGATCAGCTATCTATGGTCATATTAATTTAATGATATCTAGATCCACTTCATAGATAACGTTTCAACTTTCTTTTTTTAATATATAAAGAGGAGTAAGATATTACCTTAACAAGCACCAGCAGCTTTCACTACACCTTCCATCATCCAGTTTTTCTCCCAGCTTAAAAAATATAGTCACATCTATCTGATACTGCCCCATTATAAGCCATCACAAGATTTCCCTGAGCCCCAAAAGAAGATCAGACTCAGGTCTGTCAGGTACCTGATTCCCAAAGGGGTGTAACTCTTAATGGTTCCACTTACTTATCAAATCAGGACTCACAGAAAGTTCCTTAGTTTTCAAATGAGGACTCACAGGAAGTTCCTTATTTTTCACATCAGAACTCACAGAAAGTTCCAGGACTCACTAGAAAGTTCCAATGATTGGTCACTGGCTAAGGAGAGGATTTTTCCAGAATTTATAATTTTTTTTAATGAAATAAATTTTAAATTTCCTAACAACTAGGTTTCCCCTCCACCACCCTCTTTTATTTTTCAGATACAGAGCTGTTGCCTCCTGGAGTCGTGTCCAGGGAATTGGGATTCCCTTGATCACTGCCATTGAGATTGTCTCCATCTGGATCCTTTCTTTTATCCTGGCCATCCCTGAAGCTATCGGCTTTGTCATGGTGCCCTTTGAATACAGGGGTGAACAGCACAAAACCTGTATGCTCAATGCCACATCAAAATTCATGGAGGTATGGAGAGTTTAAAGGAAATTAACTGGGGAGGAGAGGAGGTCTTCATTTATACTTTACCATCGCCAAGACTTGTTGATATTTTTACAATGCCCAGTGTGCCTTACTCTGTAAGTTCAGTCATGTAATTAGAACAACTATTTTATTTTCATTCGTATATTAGAGCACAATTGTAGACACAACTCTAGTTCTATCCCAAACAATTCAGAATCTGAAACAAACTTACTCAGAAAGATAGATGGGGGGGGGGGGGGGGGGGGGGGGGGATATGTATTTATACACAGTGCAATTTGTTTTTATAATAAGTAATACAACACAGCCATTTCCATCTGACAGGCATGCTTACATGTATTTTATGTTGTTTGGGGAAATGCACATTGCTCACATTTTTTTAAAGACAGATTTACTAACTTAAAGTAGGAAGCCATACTTAAAAATTCTATATGTAATATATACATAACATAAATTTGCAGAACTTTTTAAAAAGTGTTTTAGTTTTTTAACAAATCTAGCCGTTGTTTAATATACCTGACCACATTAATGTTTCCTTGAAAAGCTTACTTACATAACTGAGTGCATTGGGAAATGTGTTTAAAATGCATATTTCTTTTGCCAAACTAGTCAAATTTGGACTGGGGAGGAAAAGGAAAACCATTTCTCTTAAATCAGCATAATTTAGTGCTTTGATGTAGGTTTCATGCAGCTCAGATTCCACATTTAATCCTTTACAGATATCTCCAGGTATGTTTTCCTAACTTGAAAAATTCACAAAAGTAGTGGTTTTACAGTTGACCAGTTTTCCTGTCTTGGAAATTTTTCTTTTAAAATTAAAAGTACTCATGAAAACTGTGAAACTGGTGATGTTAAAATTAAGGTCTTCTGGGGGCGCCTGGGTGGCTTAGTCGGTTAAGCGTCCGACTTTCGCTTAGGTCATGACCTCGCGGTTCGTGAGTTCGAGCCCCGCGTCGGGCTCTGTGCTGACTGCCAGCTCGGAGCCTGGAGCTTGTTTCAGTCTGTGACTTCCTCTCTCTCTGACCCTCCCCTGCTCACGCTGTCTCTCTCTCTCTCTCCTAGAAATAAATAAAAAACATTAAAAAAAAAATTAAGGTCTTCTGTTTATCTACTGACCTTTTTTATTAAGTCAATGTCCATAGTGAAAAGCAAGGTATACAGCAGGAGGCTGTCTGAACATGGACAGTGCGAATAAGCAATCTAGCTATTCCTGACAAAAGGGTTAAAGAGAAAAGGCACAGTATAAGAATGAGCTCACTAATCGTTTGAAACTAGACAAAATGAAATGAGCTGCTTCACAAAGACCGAGTCTCCTTTCTAGAGTGGGCAAGCAAAGGCTGGCTACCTGAGGGAGCTACAGCAAAAGGTATGAGTTTAAACTGATGTTCTTTAGATTCCATCCAAGTCAGAAGTTTTCAGACTCTTTCTTCCTCAGTTTGTGTTCCATTCTTTCCTCCCTCAACTCTGCCCTAACCTAGACTGGAAGGGGGTCCCTCCATACCCTGGCTGATGACAATAGTTCAAAAGAAATGTGTGACCCCTTTTTCTACAGGCCTCTGCCAAGGAGGGGGCAGAGGACTCCATCCAGACCCCTCAGGGGTCAGCTTCCAGACCCTCTGCAGCTGCTTCCAGGGCATTCACACCCATCCCACAATGCATCTTCCGGAAGAAGGAGATGCAAGTGAAGAGAGCGCTTAAAGGAGTGTTTGCGTGCACTTCAACAAAGAGTTCTGGTTTTTTTGTTTTTGTTTTAACTTCAGTACTGAAATCTTTCTACAGTGTGATGTGGAGAGGGAAATACTTGTATAAACAGATCTGAATAAACCAAGTCCCTTGGTAGGTTGCACTAACCTTAGGATAGAATTCAAGGGTCTGTGAACCTGAATGGAAAAGAAATTACATATTGATTTTCACTAACTTCTAACTGAAATTTATCATTTCCTTCTATTATGAATGTAGGCAACAATCCACAATCATATTTACCAGAATCATTACATATCCATACAATAGAAATAATAGACATTTTCATACAATTAACAGTTGGATAATCTTGAAATATCATTTCTGCCCATCATTATTTCAACTTCTGATGGTTATTAGAGCCACCATTCGATTTTCATTTAATTTGTTAATAAACACCTAGATAAGAATTTTGCTTTTAATATTTTGATAGCTGTTTCAATGTACTTGATTACCACTATAATCTATTTATTTTATGCATATAAAAGTATTATCCTCAGAAAGGATTATAGTCTTCACCAGACTTCTAAAGCATAAAAATGGTTAAGAACCTCTGCCCAGAACTTTTTTTTCCTCAGGAACCATTTATAGATTATTTTAATAGACATGTTATAAATGTAGCCTACTGGGCCTCTTTCTATATTCAGCAACTGTCCGGTTTTTCACAGAGTAGCATGATTATTTTTTACTGTGGGAACTGAGATAATACAGGAGGCTGCATTATCCTTCGTAAATAAACAATCTGGAGAAAGAGCATAAGGAAAAACATTTCTTCCTAAGACAGTGATTAATTTAGTGGGAGGAAGAATGCAGATATAATTTTCTAATTTCCATTTTTGTAGGGTACTAAATTTTCTCCTTGAAAAAGACATAAAACCGAATAATCCTAGTATTTACAAATCCTGCCGGCAGGGAGATAATGCTAAATATGCCTTCAGATAAGATACTCTGCCTCAATAGTTTCCAGGTGATAAGTATTAAGAGCTTGAGAAAGGGCATGGGTATTGATGGCTCAAACTGGCTGGCTGCAAGGTCACATAGCAAGCATTCCAGGCAAAGGGTTAACTCCCAGTAACCAGAGCTACACAGATAAGCCATTCATAACCTTCGCCATTACCCAAGCAAGAAACTCACATTAAGTACACTTTAACCACAAGAGTCAAAAGTAGACTTGGCACTCAAAATTTTGAGGCTCATCAATAGAAAAGATAAATACATATTCCATATATATCAAAATCATGTTTTATGAGCTTTGGGAGGGAATTCTTCTTGAGTTGGGCTCTCCCACTGGGTAATTAAAACCAACTTCAGTTTATAAAAAGTATCTTTGTCAGGATAATTTATTTTCTTTCTGTGCAGTTTCTTTATGTGCTACTAGAAAGCCAGGATCATTTTTGGATTTTCCAGTTTCATTGAGTTTTGAGCACCATCCTCAAGCCCTTTACTACAAGCATGAATATAGAAACATATCTACAAGCACAAAGGTTTTGAAGCTACCAGAGGCACTACCCAGTAAATTTAGACTGTAATGCCCCTCCTGTTCTCTCCTTTTCTTCATCCTACAGTTTTACCAGGATGTGAAAGACTGGTGGCTCTTCGGGTTCTATTTCTGCATGCCCTTGGTGTGCACTGCAATCTTCTATACCCTCATGACCTGTGAGATGTTAAACAGAAGGAATGGCAGCTTGAGAATTGCCCTCAGTGAACACCTTAAACAGGTAAACCTAAAGAGATCATGAAAATTTGGCTAAGACTTATTTGTCCTAGACAATAGAAGGCCTATAAATACTATATTTAGCACACTTAGCCTGGGTTCCTAAAAATAAAAATAGTGTCTTATAACTGTTTTCTTTATAGTTATAGTATTAGGAATTGCTTTTTTTTAATGTTTTATTTTTATTTTTGAGAGAGAGCACATGAAAGACAGCGGCACAAATCAGGGAGGAGAGAGGGAGACAGAATCCTGAAGCAGGCTCCAGGGTCTGAGCTGTCAGCACACAGCCTGATGTGGGGCTCAAACTCACAAACCACAAGATCATGACCTGAGCTGAAGTCAGATTCTTAACCAACTGAGCCACCCAGGCGCCCCAGTATTAGGAATTTCTTTTGTGAAAAGAGAGCCTGCCTGTAAAACAGATGCCTCTGGAGGCAGGGACAAATAGATAGGATCTATTCATTTAGTTTGCCAAGAGTATATTGAACATGTGTGTTTGTGTGTCTGTGAATTGAACTGGGCTTGGAACTGTGCCAGGACACAAAGAAGCATATGACTTTCTCCCCTTGCCAGCTTCGCAGTCTTGGTGTGGAAATAAAATACAAACATGAAACAATTAGAAAATAGAATCACCAGGTATGGTAAAAGAAGCCTCTGCTGTATAAAGTCAAGGAAGATATAAAGACAGAGTCACAGAGACACTTGTCATGGATGAGGGAGATTGAACTGTTCATAAAGGATAAATAAGTGTGATGGGGAAGAAGAAGACAGAGGGCATTCCAAGTGGGAGGACAGGAGTCTAGTTAGAACACGGCGCAGGCACCACACATTTGGGGAGTGGGAAAAAGAGATGAACCTCGCTAGAAAACCATCTAAGGTAAGACTCAGGATAGGAAATGGGACTGAGTACATAACATGAGGTCAGGTTCTGGACAGCCCCAAAATTTGTACATGTCAGTAGGAGGCTGCTGTTGGTTCCCTCCCTCCCCCCACCTGCCCTCCCACCTCACTGCCAGGCAGCAAACAGAACAGGTGAAGCCATGGGCTTTAGAGGGCACCTTTACACTTAGACTGGCTGTCTCCTGTGTTGTTGGGCAAATTGCTTAATGTCTCTGAATTCCTAGTTCTTCATAAAATGTATATAATAATATCAGCACCTTTCTGTACAAGTATTGATTCAATTTTAAGTTTTAAAAAACTAAATTGGGGTGCCTGGATGGCTCAGTCGATTAAGCATCTGACTCTTGATCTTGGCTCAGGTCTTGATTTCAGGGTTGTGAGTTCAACCCCCATGTTGGGCTCCACACTGGACATGGAGCCTACTTAAAAAAAAATTAAATAAAATGTATATAGTAATCCATTAAGGAAATTACCTAATGCATGTATGGTGTCTAATAGAGCCCAACTCATAGTAAGTACCCAGAAAATGTTTGATATATATTAATTCAAAGAGTAAAACTAGGAGTACAGGTAAATTCTCAGTCTCAGCAGAGAAGTGGATAAGAACACCCAACCGCAACAAAAGTTAATGAGTTGTTGATGGAGCCTGTAAATCTGCTCTATACAATTACCATACACAAGCAACATTCTTCATCAGCAACTCTTCTCAACTACTGTACTGATTTTTCTGAGGCTTCAGCTTCTTATCTATAAATCAGGCATAATTGTATATGAATCAATATTATTACATGTATGAAAGGTGCATACATGTACTTTGTAAAATCCTTACATGCCTTAAAAATCATTATCTTTTATTAAAATTTAATGGAAAAATTATATTGAGAAAATTTAGTATGATTTTGTCAGGCACGAATGTTTCAAGTGCTCCAGATGTGAGCTATATCAAGCAATTATTGTGTCTCACTCCTGCAGTAGAGATAATTAATTAGAATAGATTTGTAAAAAAACAAAAACAAACAAAGAACCCATAGTGCTTTTCAAGGTTGAATTTTTCATTAGCACCATGATTGAGTCTGTTTAAGCTATGAATGGTGCCTGCTCCGAAAATAACTGAATAGGGATTGGTCACAATAATAATAGGATGCTACTTCACATTTACATGGCATTTTTTAAGTTTCCAAAGAGCATGTCATTTCCTTATTTGATTTTTCCCAAGCACCCCGTGATATAGGCAGGACAGACGTCCTTATAAGGGTCATTAAAAGATTGGCTCATCCAAGTGGAAATTAAAAGTGAAACTTGGTCCCCATACAGTAGTCATTGCCTTGTGTCACACCCAAAGCTGTAGCAGATTTCAACAGCAGGAGAGCAAGCCAGGCTGGAAGGCTTTCCATGGGGGCGGTGGGGAGCTAGCTCACAGTGAAAGGCCCTGCCGCCTTTTGACTAGTATCCTTTATAGCTCTTGGTCTTGCTGCCTGCATGGCTTTCTCGAATTTCTATTATTCCTTCAACATCTGATAACAGGTAGAGATTGTATTTGGAAGCTGGTAGCAGAAAACCCAAAATAACATTGAGTGAAAAAAGTGGAGGTTTCTTCTTTCTCCCACAGCAAAAATAAACAAACAAAAAATAAACAAAAACAAAAATTCAGATATCACTGTTCAGTGCTTAAGGGACTCAGAAGCCAGGGGTCTGCTGTTTTGTGGACTTTCCTTTTATTATTGGAAGACAGTAGCTACAGCTCTACCCGTATATTGGATTTCCAGGCAGCAAAAAGGGAAAGAATATAGATCACATTAGTGTGTGTGCATCAGAAGAGTACCCTCCACTTTTAAGTAGCTTTTCCAGAAACCTCTTGCAATGATTTCTACTTGATCTCAGTGGTCCAACTGTGTCAGGGGGCATGCGGATGATTAGCCCAGGCTCACCTACTGGCCTAATAAAATCAAGGCTCTGACTGATAGTAAGGAAAACAGGAGAATAGATACTGGTTAAGCAAATATCAGACTGCCATACAATATATTACCTTTTGAATGATCATCCTCTTTGAGGATGTGCTCAAGGGAGATAACCTTTCCCCCAGTACCCAGCACCCTCCATTTTTCTTTTTCTGGTCACACTGTCTTCCTCTGTACACCAAAGGACCCTTTAAAATAATCCCCTATTCCTACATACTGAAACTCTTTATTTTCTCAATGATTGCTCAGTTTATATGTTCTACGAAGCCATATCCCAGTTATCCCACCCAATAACTCTGAAAGATTAAAGAACTCCAGTCCTTTGGGCTAGAGCAGCAGTTTGTGACAACTGCCTTGAAATCTTCTTAAATGGCTCTATTAATCATGTGGGTTTATAGTAGGCTTCCCATACTTAATGCTATATGCTTTGGGTTGAACCAGCGTTACCCTTCCAAATCCTGTTTTCAATCAATTTTATTTTGACATTAACTGATCCCAGTTACAGACAAGTTGCATTTTATGTTCCTAGTTAGCCTTTCAAATGCATGCATTTTAATACTGAAGCATAATGTACACAAGTGACCGTTGCAGATAATTCCTAACCTATGATTTTCTGGTCCAACACAAACTCACAAGTATGTAAACCTTCAAATTGAAGTCAGTCCAGGGTCAACATGTCCCACTTGTTCTAATCATCATTGCTGATAATCCTTTACCCTCATCCCTCTGTTTGCAAACAAGATGTCTTTGGAAGCTATATGTCATTAATAAAAGAATTTTAGAGCAAAAACCTCACAGTGCTAGCTTTCCTCAATAGCAAGAAATAGGGAAAACACGCTGCTGTTGGCTTTTTCTCTCTTTCCTACTTCTGTTTTCCAAATATCTTCATAGATTTGTCCATTCTTTATTAGGCTAGGTTCAGTCACTTTGAATGACTGTCATTTTGAGCCATTGCAGTCACTTTGAGCCATGCTGTCATTAATGCTAGCTACCCATTATTGAGGCTTTTAGCTCACCCTCTCCCCCAGATAATCTCTCTCTCTCTCTCTCTCTCTCACACACACACACACACACACACACACACACACACAGCCACAGTGTTGGCTCAGCTCCAGCTACTTCCCGTTTCCCTGACATGGAACTTCTATCCTGACCCTAATAACCAGCTTGAGGCCACCATCCTTCCTGGCAGCCGCCCAAAAGAATCATTAGCAATTCCTTGATTAGAAAGTTGGACTCCAAATCCAGAAAAGATGGAGGCACTGTGAGGCATGCTCTCTAGCTCTTTATTAAGTAATTCTCCAACTTCCTTTGTATAGTTCTTTCCTCTGGTAGAAAAACACTAAACTTATTGTAATTTTTTCTCTTCACTTTCCTTTAGCGTCGAGAAGTGGCAAAAACAGTTTTCTGCTTGGTGGTAATTTTTGCTCTTTGCTGGTTCCCTCTTCACTTAAGCCGTATTTTGAAGAAAACCGTGTATGATGAGATGGACAAGAACCGATGTGAATTACTTAGGTATGATCCTGTGTACTCATTAGGAAGTTGGAGTTTCCCTGATTTGTGCACTTTAATAGTTTTACAAAACCACCTAGTCTATAGTCGCATTAGCCATGAAAATTAAAACTGCCAAGTTGATTATTTTTCTTGAGCTGACCTAGCCCATGACTGATCCCCAAATTTGTGCAAGCCATATCTGTAATTTTGTGGCTCCCCTCCTGAGGCTGTGCATAATGGTTTGAGCTCACCAAATGGCAGGTATATCTGTAAATGTTCTGCAGAACAGAAACTGCCATTTAAACAAGCACTTAAAAAAACTCTGACTGCCGCCTATAAGAAATGGCCCCTGGGCAAGAAAAATGCTTATTCTAGGGATAAATGCTAGTTAGCAGATTTAAAAACATTATCTTCTAATTATTCTACTCTATTTTCTTTTGTTCTAGTTTCTTGCTGCTCATGGATTACATTGGTATTAACTTGGCAACCATGAATTCGTGTATAAATCCAATAGCTCTATACTTCGTAAGCAAGAAATTTAAAAATTGTTTCCAGGTAAGAATGTTTTGCAAGTATTTTTTAAGGACAACCAAGTAGGCATATTAAGTAGCCAACAAGCATGGCTGATTCCAGTGGAGAAGTGAAAATCATACTCTGTTACCTAGAAAGAGGGTCAAATTGTCAACATAAAGCAATATTGTCAGAAAAATTGTCAGAAAAGCAAGATCTGTTCAGACAACAAAATATTCAGAGGTTCAAATAAAAAAAGACTAACTTAATAACATGCTAATTTAGTATGCTGCTTTCAAAAGAAATGCTCAAGGGGCACCTGGGTGGCTCAGTCAATCAGCTGACTTCAGCTCAGGTCATGATCTTACAGTGAGTTCGAGTCCTGCATCGGGCTGTGTGCTGACAGCTCAGAGCTTAGAGCCTGCTTCCCATTCTGTGTCTCCCTCTCTCTCTGCCCCTTCCCTGCTTGCTCTCTGTCTCTTTGTCTCTCTCTCAAACATTATAATAAACATTTAAAAAAAATTTTTTTTAAGTACACAACTTTAAAAAGAAATGCTCAAGGGGTCCCTGAGTGGCTCATTCAATTAAGCATCTGGCTCCTGATTTTGGCTCAGGTCATGATTTCATAGTTCGTGGGATTGAGCTCTGAGTCGGGCTCTGTACTAGCAGTGTAGAACCTGCTTGGGATTCTCTCTCTCTCCCTGTCTCTCTGCCCCTCTCCTGCTCTTTCTCATGCTTGCTCTCTCTCTCTCTCAAATAAATAAACTTAAAAAAAATTTTTTAAAGGAGTGCTCAAATGTGAGCTCCAGGCTGCATAGAATACATAAAACCTATTCATACTTTTTCATTATCTTAGACTTTAACCACAGTCTCCAACAAAACATAAATTTGTTGATAAAAACAATCTTCCTAAATGCTGCTTAATAGTATATTTAATAATAGCCTCTTCAAGGAAAGTAAATGCTTATTGCCCTGGATATCTGAACTAATGTAATTTCATTAGAAGTCTGTTTCCTGATGTTCGTCAAATTTCCTTGCAGCTAAACCAACCCATATCCTCCAGAAGCTCCATGTACTTCATACCGAGGTGTCATTTCTCCAGTTCTTGAGATGACTTAGCATAGAGTTAATTCTAACTGCATTTTGTTATCTTTGGCCAGGATGTTTAACTTCATTTTATGGCACATATTTGGAAGAGTAGTGTAGAGGTCAAGGGTGCAGAATCTGGAAGCAAACAATCTTGATTTACATCACAGCTCTGTAGTTGCTAACTGTCTGACCCAGGTCCAGGTGGTACCCCTCCTGCCTCCTCAGTTTGATCATCTGATTTTACGGATTATCTATCTCATAGGTAGGATCCAATGGGTTAATATATATTAAGCACATGAGATAATAAGCTGTTTGTATGAGTTTATTATTATTACAGATAGAGAAGAAAGGAAAAACACAATGACTACCCTCATGGAATTTACCATCTAGAAGGAGACAAACATATATTTACCAAAGAATCATACAAACAGATGAATCTTGGTATGGAAGTTCTAGCCGACACCTTTTTGAAGTCTACTTGATAATGTTTGCAAGTCATGAAATGCCATAAGAAAGATTCTGCCCAAAAAAGGATTGACTAAAATCCTGGTCATAATAATATATAATCTGGAGTTAACATCATTTTGATTAATTTACATATTAATTAGAGGGAAAGGAAAAATCAATGTACAGACTCTCAGAAATTAAACATGTCTTTTGACTAATCTTAATAAAAAGGTAGCATATGCAGGAGAAATCTAGAGTCCTGGGTTCTAGTTCCAGTTCTGCCTATTTCTCCTCTAAACCTCCCTGTCCTCATTAATAAAATGAGGAAAATAGCACCTACCACCTAAGGTTATTATGAACATCAGATGCAGAGAGCCATGCAGGTGTTGCACACTGCAGAAATGTCAGGCCCCTCTGGACCCTTCTCCATCCATGCCTACCCCAAGTCATAGAACATCTCCCTCAGGCCAATGCTGCGTTCCCTTCCTTTCTGACTTAGTGAATAAATTAAAACAAGAAACAAGGGATCTATTTCTCTGCATAGAATGGACAGTTTTAACTTCTACCTAGAGATTATAGGCTCTGTACTCTAGATTATTGTTCAGGCTCACATTCTGTCCTCAGATTTGTATGGACATTTCCCCCTTGCTGGTAGGAAGCCAAGGCCTCTGTGTTCTTCTGGGAATGGGTTGGTAGGCTCATGTTATTTAGAATCTCTTCCATCTCCCAGTCTTGCCTCTGCTGCTGCTGTTACCAGTCCAAGAGTCTGATGACCTCGGTCCCCATGAATGGAACAAGCATACAATGGAAGAACCACGAACAAAACAACCACAACACAGAGAGGAGCAGCCATAAGGACAGTATTAACTAAACATCTTAAGAAACATTAATCAATATTCCTTCAAAGTCTATTGAAGAGGAAAAAAATCACACAGCAACTGTGTTTCCAGCAACTTTTCTCCAATCCTTCTCCCATGACGCAACCCCAAGCCCAGAAAAATGCTTTCCAAAACATTGGAGGGTGGACTGGTTTATAGTCACAAATTCAATGAATCTTACTTCTTTAATTTATCTAATTTACATATTCTGCATGGTATATTCAGCACTAAAAAATGGTGGGAGTTAGCAAGCAGAAAGGAGACTGTTCAATTAAACCAGTAGGATATTTACTACTTTTGCATGAAAACAGAGTCTCTGAGTACTTAACAGCTTCCATGGCAGTTCTGTGGAATGTTCAATGAGAACTGGTCACCGTGAAAATTTTTCGATCTTGACAAGGTTTTCTTTTTTTTTAATTGGTCAAACACGGTAACGTGAGCAATTAGGTTAATGTTTTTTATGTCACTTTTTTATTTTTAAAACACCGATTCTCAAGCTGCAACAAATATAGCCACATAAAGCACAGACTGATATCCACATGTGGCAGTTTAATAGCTGCTATTCAAAGAATTGTTAAGAACCTATATTTTCTTTTTTTAATGGTGTTTCATTATAGGAGATCTCGACCATATTGTTGTGTTAAATTTTAAAATAATGCTTGAATCAAATAATTCTATTTTTTGTAAGCCCAATCTTTTTTAAGTGTAGATATTTTATGTAAAATCAATATCATGTACCACCAAAATGTAAATGTACACATCATTCAACTATACCCAAGACTTTCAGTGGAATGTATTGAAGTCTAAAGCACACTTAGTAGAAAAAAGCGTGAATCTTTTTAGAAGATTTGGAAATTTTACTGAGACTTTGTTTTTTTTGGTCTTAAAACATGTATGTGTATGCATGTGTATATATATGTGTACATATACATATATGTATGTATGCATATATATGTAGACACATATCTATATACATTATACATATCACCTCATATCCTCTTGATTTCTCTTAAAATGTTAACTGGCAGTAAGACTATTTTGGTCATTCCCTTTTCAATATGAGAAACAATTTCGAAGTGGCCAGCTGAGTTTATCATGTCAGTGAAATATAATTACCCCCAAATGCAACCATGAACTTCTGGTTCTTCACTTCCCTGGGTTTCCAGTATGAATTGAAACACCTACCCCACCCCCACTCCTCACATGGTCGCCATTTCAAAGGGCCCACAGTGACTTTTGCTGGGCATTTTCCAAGATGTTTACAGACTGTGAGTACGGCAGAAAACCTTTTACTGTGTGTATATAAATATATATAAACAACTGTACATTTTCTTTTAGCCAATTTTTCTGTGATTGTCTTTATGGAATGTACTTGTGTGTGTGATATATGCATGTGTGTGATGGTATGCATGGACTTAAATCTAGTAATAATGCCCTGTCGTTGTACTACAGCACACACTCTGAGTAGGTGGAATCTAGTGGTTGTTCATCATGACAAATGGCCTTAGTCAGTTTTACTATATCTGTGTTCATAATTCTTGTGACCATGTTGCCATCACAAATGGAATGTGGGAAGCAGCATAAAAGAGGACGTGCCATGGGTTGACAATAAGGTTTGTTTAACTGGTTGGTTGGTTGGTTGGTTGGTTAGCAGGTTTGATAAAACAGTATTTGGGGTTATACTTTTTCCTGTGCTAGAGCAAAAGTCATTCAATTTTGAAGTAGTATATTGTCCTGGTTCCTCAGCTCAACGTGCTTATGAGACTGACAAGAGGCCTGATGTTTCTATCAGACTTCACCAGACAGATAGCTGATGATAAATTACCTAACCCGATTTGTTGGGCTATATTTTAGCATAGTCATGTATAAAATGATATCAGGTTCCAGCTGATGCAATTCCAGGCCTCCTTTACATGTGAGAAGTCAAATTCCGTTACTCTACTGGTACATCACATACAGTGATATATATACCTACGATATAAGCCATACTTCACATCATTTTGTTTAGACAATTGTCTTTTGGGATATTTTGTCTCTTGCATATGAAAAATGCATTTAATAAGTTCATAAAGTCATAGATTTCTGAATAAAACAGGCTTCAATGTGCATTTTATTTATGGACCAGTAAGTAACCATGGTTTACTAATAGGAATAGTTCCAATTTCTACCTTTACCACATATTTCCAAGTAGATCTGTAGAAATGAGCCAGAAGCCAAGGCCCCTGCATTGGCAGTGGCCCATAAGTATAAAATAAAAGTTTACATAAGACTTGCAAGTGTCTCTTCATTTTTACATAGAAAATGTTGATTATGTGATACCTATTGCAAATGTCTCCCTAGTAGTAGCCAAGGAAGCAATTTTACTCTCAAACAGGTACTTCCTATTCTCAACCTACTTTGTTGTACTGAACACTTAACTCTTTCATTCCTTCCTTCATTCACCTTTTCAGTAAGTTTTATTAAGCATCTACTATGCACCAGGCATTCTTCTAGGTTTGGGGGACATAGCAGTAAACAAAACAGGCAGAGTTCCTGCTCTCATGGAGCCTGCATTCTAGAGGAGGGAGTTGGACAATAAACAGTGTTGGACACCTGGCGGAAGATACTCATGTGTACCCAATTGCTTATTTAACATCTCCAACTGAATGGCTAACAGATGTACCATATCTAAAACTACGCTCCTGATATCCCTCTAACCTGTGCTGCCATCATATTCCTCTGCTTATGTATTAGTCAGGGTTCTCCAGAGAAACAGAACTAACAGGATGGATGGATGGATGGATGGATGGATGGATGGATGGATGGATGGATGGATAGATAGATAGACACATAGATAGATAGATAGATAGATAGATAGATAGATAGATAGATAGACAGATAGATAGACAATAGATAAAAAAGGAAATTTATTATGGGAACTGGCTCCATGTGATTATAGAGGCTAAAATAAACCATGATCTGCCATCTACAAACTGTACAAACTGTAGAACCAGGAAAGCCAGTGATAAAATTCAGTTCAAGTCCAAAGGCCTGAAAAAAACAGGGGAGCAGGAGTATAACTTCCAGAGTCCAAAGGTCAAGGAACCAGGAGCACCAAAGTCCAAATGCAAGAGAAGACGAATGTCCCTCATCAAGAAAAGATGGAGAGAATTCACCATTCCTCTGCCTTTTTGTTCTTTCTGGGAGGACTTTGGCAGATGGATGATGCTGGCTCACACTGATGAAAGCAGATTTGCTTTACTCAGCCTCCTGATTCAAATGCTAAGCTCTTCTGGAAATACCCTCACAGGCACACACAGAAGTAATATCTTACTGGGTGTCTCTTAGCCTAGTTGACACATATTAACCGACACAGCTCATTTAAAGACTCCATCATTCTTGGAGCTGTCAGGATAAACACTTGAAGTCATTGTCCATTCTTTCTCTCCTATCTTATATTCAGTGCCTCAATACATCCTGAAGTCAGAATTTGACTACTTTTCTCTCTCTGCCTCTACTTCCCTTTTCTGAGCCACCAATGCCTTTTGCCAGGATAACTACAATAGACTTCTATCATGCTTCTATAATGCCTGCCATCAGTGCTTCTACATTTCCAGCCTTTAAACACTATACTCTAATTGGAGCCTATCTCTCAACAGGCTAAATAGTCTAAAGGCATTCATATTTCCAAGCTAAGCTGACCGCTATCCCCTGGGGAGTTTCCCAGTAACAACTGAAGTAGGAAAGAGCCCCTTCCCACTGTGGCACAGCTGGTTGGACATGACCCTGGGAGCTGCTGGCCACCATGGTTTGGGCATTGTGAGGAAAGTCAACCTACAGTGTTACAAAGATGAAGAAGAGCATATAAGCTCCTGGTTCCAGTTTTCCCTGATGCTTATGCTAATTAAATTCAGTGTTTTGTTGCTTACAATCCATACATTCTAAGAACATCTCATCTAAGTTATCTTGATTTATTTATCTCTTCTTGTTTAAATTAAGAGATTATGTTTTTTAGAGTTTTAGGTTTATGGAAAAATTGATGGGAAAGTACAGAGAATTCCCACATGCCCTCTTTTCCTTCTTGCCTGCACACAACTCTATTATTTCCCTCTTGTGTCAGTGTGGTATACTTGATGAGCCAATATTGACACAAGAGTATTAACTGAAGTGCAGAGTTTACATAGGGGTTCACTGTGTGGTACATTCTATGGGTTTTAATAAATGTGTCGTGACAGTTATCGACCATATAGTAGCTTCACTGCCCTAAAAATCCCCTCTGCTCTACCTTTTCTTCCCTCCTTCCTTCTCCTTCTTGATTTATCTTTTCACCCAATACAGATATAGTGAACACCCTCCATTATTACACTGTGCGAGTTGCTGGGAATACAAAACCAGATGTATAAATAAATAAATGCACTGAAGTTCTTAGTGGTGACTCATAGATGTCAGCATAGGAGCTGGTAAAGGCACAAAGACAAAGTAGTCAAGATTCTTTAAACTTCAACTGGTGACATTAGCGAACACAACAAAAAGGTTTTTGCTTCTATGATTCTTTTCTTAATGCAAAAATATGTCACTGCTAGGAGAATGGCATAATAAAAAGCAATATACTATTGTCTCGACATTATGAGCTTTTAAAGCTGTAAATACATGTCATTTTCCATTCAAAAATAAACCTAATATCTGTCCCTTTAAAATTATTAAGGTAATGAAACAAATGGGAGATTAAGTCTAGGAAATCGCCAAGACAAATATTAATCTTTCACTAATCTATTTCCTCTATCATTATTTTTAATAGTGTTACTAGTCCATAATATAGTATTAAACACAATATAGGTATAGAGTGAAGAAAATGCACTACCAGTATTCTCCAGCCTCTCCAGGCCTGAAATTTGGATACTATGATTCCTTTATTTGTAACATAATCTAGTACAGCACTCTATTTATTGATCTTTCTCCATACTTCAAACAGGGAGGGTTAAAAAAATTTTAATGTTTATTTATTTTTGAGAGAGAGAGACAGAACACGAGCAAGGGAGGGAGGGCAGAGAGAGAGAGAGAGGTAGACACAGAATCCAAAATAGGCTCCAGGCTCTGCACTGTCAGAACAGAGCTCAACATGGGGCTCAAACTCACAAACTGTGAGATCATGACCTGAGCCAAAGTTGGACACTCAATCAACTGAGCTACCCAGGTGCCCCTTAAAAAGGCAAAGTTAAATCAGAGCCCAAGCCCACCATATGCAGTTGTTTCTGAAATTCCAGTGGGGTCTTCATACTGAAAACCCCGCATGGATTTTTTAAAATATTCTTACATTTGGAGAAGCTTCTGTCATACTTTCCTCTAAGTATTTACAAAGACAAACCAGTGTCTATATTTGGTCAGCACTGATACTCTGGCTTTTTTGTTTTGAGATAGGCCACAGTTCTTAGAACCAGGGAATAATCAAGAACCAAAAATAACACTGTAACTGCAAAGCCAGGCTTTCCCCATGAAGCAAACTAGCATAGTTCACTTTTGATTTGATGAAGCCAGAAGTCCTAATATCTAATGCTTTCCTAAACTTTTCGCATCGATATTATTCAGTAGATGCCTTTGTTTCTTCCTGGAAGGTAATAAATTAAGAATAGCAATGCCAAGCCTCAATATAATAAAACGAGTCATGGAATCTCCTAAGGGAATAGAGTATTCCACAAATTTTTGCTTTTTGGCCCTAAACTACAGTCCTCTTTCCTAATTTGTCTACATAGAACTGATTATCTTTTATTTGAATTTGATTCTATGATGATAGATACAATTGTATATTTGGTGTTGTATGACAGATTTGTCCCAGATGGCAGACAGCAATGCACGCTGCCCAGACTGTGTAGTATCATATGATCAGACAAATCACAGGCCCCAGGCACCTACAGGGCACAGCCCTGACTCACTCCATTTACGCACATTTTTACAGAATAAAGCCATTTCTCTATGAACAATAGCTCATTATTTCTCTTAAAGTGTGACAACTGAGATTAACTGCAGTTAAATTCTTGTGTTTTTTTTCTTTTTCTTTTTTTTTCTTTTTTATTGTCAAGTTGGTTTCCGTATAACACCCAGTGCTCATCCCAACATAAATTCTTGTGTTTTCAAAAATATCTTCAGGGGCGCCTGGGTGGCTTAGTCGGTTAAGCGTCCGACTTTCCCTTAGGTCATGATCTCGCGGTTCGTGGGTTTGAGCCCCGCGTCGGGCTCTGTGCTGACTGCCAGCTCAGAGCCTGGAGCCTGTTTCAGAGTCCGTGACTCACTTTCTCTCTGACCCTCCCCTGCTCACGCTGTCTCTCTCTCTCTCTCTCTCTCTCTCTCCCCTAGAAATAAATAAAACATTTAAAAAATTAAAAATAAAAAAAAATATATCTTCAAATGAGAAAATCAACTAACTGTGATCATGTGAAGGGAACATAATGTGCCCTTTTAGGCTTTTCAGGCACACATCTGTGCATAATGGGAAAAAAAAACTAATTTCTTAGTCCAGTCTTTTCTCTAGTTTATGAAACCTAATGGAATTAGACCTGGAGCACTGTTCTGCATTTGCAATCAAGACCTTGTTGGGAGGGAAGGATTCCTGATGACCAGTTTAAGCCAAGCAGGGCTCACTCAGAGGGAGTGGGGCTGGGGAGGGTGACTTCCCAAAGGAAAAAACCATGTGGCCTTAGAAGGAGGAAGGGGAACAGCTGCACCGCTTCCTTTTTTCCTCTTTGAAGATATTGTCCATACATCCTGCTATTCCTTATTTCTGCTGCTTTTCACATCTGTAGCTTAGTTAATTCTTCCATTTTTATTATTTTCTTTAAAAAGAATTTTTGTTCAGGGGGCCTAGGTGGCTCACTCGCTTAAGTGTCTCACTCTCAGCTTCAGCTCTGGTCATGATCTCACGTTTCTTGAGTTCAAGCCCCATGTCAGGCTCTATACTGACAACACAGAGCCTGCTTGGGATTCTCTCTCTCCTTCTCTCTCTGCCCCTCCCCATTCTCTCTCTCTCTCAAAATAAATAAACTTCAAAAAAAAGAATCTTTGTTCTTCAAATTATAAAAATAATATAAGAAATAGATCTATAATATATTTAAAGCCGCTGCAGAACAAAACAGTAATTAATGAATAATCTGTGTATTCAAGGGGAGAAAATTTCTATACATGGGACTTTAAATATAAGATATATAGGTATATAGATATAGATATAGACAGATATCCACCTATATGTATATCTTACATTTAATTTATCCAGTCTTTTGCTACCACAAACAAGGCTACATTATACATCTCTGTGCAAGTCTTCATGGACACTGTGTGACTACTCTGAGACAATTAAAGATGAGTAGGATTGTTGGTCGATCACAGGGGTTTTGCAAGTTAATATCCTTACATACTGCCAGACTGTCCCCACCAGGTCTGGGTGGAACCATTATTCTTATTCGGGGCTCTGAGTGGCTTGCAACTGCTCCACTTTACACGGCACTGTCACACTGGAGGAACATATACCTTTCGGCAGATGTACAGATGCTGTTGGAGGCCTCACCAGATCCTCCTGGCTCTCTTGTACCAGCTCTGTTCCCCCATCCTTAGCATCGGTGTTTTTGCTCCTATTTGCACCTACAACTTTATAAAGGTGGCTTGCCCTTGGACACAGGAGCCTCCTAGTTTCTAAGGAGAAGTGGAAGTGTCTGGGAATTTTATGTTCACCTGCAACCCCCTGTGGCCAATGACTTACTGGTGTGGGAGTACAAAAGTCCAGCATTTATGTCTCAGGGAGGGCAAACACCAAGCACCCCAGGAGACAGGGCTGAGTCTGCAACTTCACCTGAAAGCTCACCTTTCTTAGGGGTTCTTCCCTTTCCCCAGCCTGCTGCTTCTACTCCCTTACTGGTTTCTTCTTCTCGGGCTGTACCTTAACAAATCCTTGCCTCGAGGACTATTTCTGGAAGAGCCTGATCAAAGCTAGCTGAATGTGATTTGTATTTCACTGCTGAATGTGATTGGCAAATTCTGACATTGAACATGTTAGATTCTTTAGCATACTGAATCAGGGCTCATTCTTGAAGCTACTCTTAATTTCTCTATCTGGAGCCTCTTAGGATGTATGAAATCTCTCTACTAATCGGCCATCCAAACTTCCCCACTCTCTGCTTCAGTCCCACTGGCTGTAAAAGGGCATGGCTTTTCTGTTGGGTGCTAACACGACCACTCTAGAAGCTCCATTTCAAGCTCTAAGTTTCTCTCTGTATCTAGCATCACTTCTAACGGGATTGTACTGCACTTGCCCTTAAGACAATATGCCTCGCCCAAGTGTCTGACAAATGAAGGTGTCAGTCATTAATGAAGCTGGAATCAATGAGAGAGGTAACAAAATTAGTCAGCTGGAGATTGGGAAGTGCAAGTAGGGTAGCAATCACAGACCACTCTTTCTGGGTTTGACAATGAGAATGCCAGAGAACTAGGATGGCAGCTTGGGAAAACAGCAGGGTCAAAGGCAAGGCTTTGGTTTTTTAAAGAGAGAAACAACCTCATCCACACTCCAGGCTCTCTTTAGGTGCCAGTGAAAACCATACCTGTACAATTTTTTTCTATAATGAACATGTGTTGCTTGCTCTGTAATCAGAGTATATACATAAATAGACAAAATTTATCTTTGATTTTGGTGATAATACTGTTAAACCTTCTTCAGATTAACAGTTAATGGGTTCTCCCAGTGAGACAGAACAAATAGAATATACATATATAGTAAAATATAAGAGATTTACTACAGGAATTACCTTATGTGATTATAGAAGCCATAAAGTTCCACAATCTTCTGTCTGCAAACTGGAGAACCAAGAATGCCAGTAATGGTATCATCCAGTTTAAGTCCGAAGACCCTAGAATCAGGATGCCAATTGCATAAGTCCTGGTCAGAGTCTAAAGACCTGAGAACCAAAAACTCCAATGGTCAAGAGGAGAAGATAGAGGTCTTAGCTCAAGCAGAGAGGACAAATTCACCTTCCTCCACTTTTTTGTTCTTTCCAAGCCCTCAGGGGATGGGGTGATGCTCACCTGCATTGGTGAGAGCAATCTTCTTTACTCAATCAAATGCTAATGTCTTCCACAGACACTCTGATAGACATACTCAGAAATAATGTTTTATCAGATATCTGAACATTCCTTAGCCCAGAAAAGGGAAAATAAAATTGACACATAAAATCACTCATCAGTTATACAATAAATACACAAGAAAAACCAAAATCATTTCATTATATGTTTATGTTTTCTAGAAACTATCAGGGAAAATAAATTTCCAATAAGCTGGAGATGCATACTATCTACATAATTATGCCTTAAAGCCTTTATTTTATAAACATCTCCCAATCTCATAGCTGCTCCACATTAAAGAATCTTTCTCACTGTTCCAAATCTATCAGTCAGGGTAGCTGATGGAGATTAAGCTCCAAAGCAGTCCCACATGCTTACCTTCCCTTCCCCTGTGTGTCCATAGAGAATCTATAAAATGGTAGGCTGTTTTCTATCTCCTCCCCCTCCACTGAACGCTCCATTTCCAAATTACCCTGGGCCCCAAATTCATCGGGCAGAAGGGAGCCTGAGTTCATTACTTCCTCCACACTGACCCTCTTTCTCAGATTCTACGTCATCTGCAGATATTCAGCAATTGTATTATAAATTGCACAACTGCTTGGGCTTGGTTAGTGGATACAGTCATCCACTTTTGTCATCAACCTGGCATCCAGAATCTCTTTCAATCAAAATGGAAAAGGGTCATGGGAACTTAATATTCTACTGAACCATGAACTGGTTTGGGAAAAATAACAGTATAACTTCTGACCATGCGTGGGATCACACAGCATTCCACCAGGTTGTCCCAGTGCTCCAGGGAATGCTGTGGTTATGCTTAAGTACTCTCATCTAGGAATTACACTGCGTAATGTACAATTTTGCAAGCTCTTGCTTTGGTAGACTACACAGTATGCAACAAATAAAAGGTTGTCCTTTTGACTTCAACTTAAATGTCACTTCCTAGGAGAGACCTTTCCTGACCACACAGTGTAAATTACTGAGTCACTCTACCATATCATATATCATTCTGTTTTCATTTTCTGCATAACACATATCAAACTTAAGTGAATCTTAAGTTTGTCTTAAGTGTGTCTATTGTATGTCCCCTGTCACTAGATAAAGGACCTGGTCTGTCTTGTCTTTTGTAATATCTCCAATGCCTGAAATAATTCTGGATGGCACATAGTTAGGCCTCAATACGTATACGGCATATTAATTAAATCAAGGTGATACAATAGAAAAAAAAATGGCTAGGAGGCTACCTTGAGGCTACTTTTAATACAGGATGGTCAAGGAAAATCTTCCTGGGAGATGAAACCTATATGACAATTAGGTTAAATCCAAGGAAATAACAGTGTAAACACATTGTTCAAAGAGATGAAGTTAAATATTAGTAAAAACAATCTAAAAGTTGAAAACGGTAGCCTATGGGGGACAGGTATCCAGAGAGGCAAAAGCAAGGGGCTTCCTTTTTCCATTATTAGCTATGGTAAATTAAAGATGGCCACAAATTCTTTGACAGCATTCCCATGGCAGGGTCTATTTCCCCTTCCCATGAAGGAATTTGGGTTGGCCTATAACTGCCTACCAATAATGTACCAGTGGACTTGGCACTCTGCCATTTCCAGCCCTAGTTTTTCAGAGGATTAGAAGCTTCTATTGTGGTCTCATGAATCCCTGAACCAACGTGTAAGAAGACCAACCACCTCCCTGGAGAGACCACATGGAGAGGCCTTTAGACTGAACTAAAAGAGAAGTAACCAGCTGAGCCCAACCTTCTAGCTCCCCCACCAAAACAGCAGACATGTGAATGAAGCTGTCTTCAAAGCACCAGACGAGACCAGACACCAGCCGAACACACCCAGTTAATGCTACATGGAACAGAAAAATTAGCCAGCCAAGCCCTGCTTGAATTCCAGATCTACAAAATCTTGCGATATAATAAAATTATTGTTGGCTTAATTCATTACATACTGGAGTAGTTTGTTATATAACAATAGATAACTGGAAACTCAGTCTTTTATTCCTTAAGATAGTAAGTCTTTGGTACTAATTTTTTACCATGTACTTGTAAAATTTTCATAAAAAGTAAATTAAAGTAGTTTGATCTCAATAAGGTCAATGGGTTATATTGAGGTCAGTTTCATGGTTGCAGTATTGTACTATAGTTATATAAAATGTTACCCTTGGGCAAAACTGGGTGAAGAGCATAACGGGGAGATCCCTCTATATTATTTCTTACAACTACATGAGAGTTCACAATTATCTAAAAATGAAAAGTTAAAAACATAATTTGAACAGCTGAATGTTTGTATCTTGTCATATTTATATATGTTTAACAAAAAAAAATAGTGGCATACTTTACATATTATCCTATATTTTTCCATTTAATATATTTTATAGCTATATCCATATCAGCAGTATAGGTCCCCCTTATTAATTTTAATGGCTACATTATAGTCCTCTGTCTTAATTTGCTACCATTTATTTAGGTAGCACCTTACTGATGGATATTTATGTGTTTTTCTCCTCTCTGGAGACTATGTACTCTATTAAATCAGAAGAATTCTAAATTCCCTTTGAGTGATAAAAATTTTTTAAAAACTGGGCAATATGGCAATATCCCTCTAGTATAAACTGAAAGAACTTATTTCTATCATTTTTATGATAATTCCTTTCCTGTCTTCACATCTTCCATAAGCAATTCTAAGCCTACTTCTAAATCCAGGAAGTGTCCACATATCTATACATAGCTAACTCAGCTTCTGGGTAGCAGATTGCAAGGCAAACTGCTAGATGTCAGGGAAAAAAACATAACTAAAACTCAAAACTCCAGCCTTGAATCACCCTGTCTGAAGGGCGACTTCAAAAAAATGAAACCAGTAAAGAACACTGATATATAAGAGAAACTACTGCTCTTCAAAACCAAGACTCAAACCACAAAGCTTCCAAGACTCAATATCTCAAAATAATTATTTAATCTGCTTAGCATTTTTATATTAATGATATCATTAAGATCAAAAGAAAAAGTAGAAAGGATGTTCCAGGTAGATACATACACTGAATTTCTAGCCAAGAATAAGTTATTCTACCATCTAAAAACTCTCTATGCTTTTAAGAAAGTGGATCTGCAGTGCATTCTTCACTCGTTCACTCATCCATTCAGACACAACATCTAAGTGTCTGATAGTGTGTCAGGAGCAGACAAAGGCGGCTATTAGTCCCTGTAAAAGCACATACTCTAGTGCAGAGACAGAGAACCACATAGATAAGAATAAACACTGTGGCAGAGGATAATAAAAATAATAAAAATAAGCACATGGTAACATAGGGTTACACAGAAGGAAATGCAAGCCTTTATGAAGGAAAATTTTTAAGTCTTAAGGTAGGGATAGGCATACTCTGTGGGAGAAATTGCTCATTCCAAGTGGAGAACAGCATGGACAAAGTCCTAGAAGCAGGCATAAGGTTGAGCGTAGCTTGCCCGTGGGAATGGTACAGGGGTTCAGGTGGTTCTACATGCAGTTATATGCTGCCCAAGTATACAATGGAGCATAGAGTTCCTGGAGAGATGGCTTGGGTACAGACCATATAGGGCTGTGTGCCTTTCTGAAGACTTTGAAGTTCATCCCTCAAGTAAGGGGGATCTAATGAAGAAGACCTTTGTTTGGGGTGAACATATGTCCCAGTTTGACCAAGACTATTCCAGTTTACGCTTGTGGCCCCAGTGTAATAATTAGTAGTGCTCACTTTCACATTCAAATGTCCTGGTTAAGATGATAACCCTACTTATTACCATAGTTATGATAGATCTACTTCTGGTGGTACTCAGATCATTGAAAATCTGCCTACGTGAGAAACAACAGACAATAGAAGGAAAGGAAGAAGAAAAAAAAAATCTATTTCCCACCCTGCAGAAAGTCTGATCAATGCTAAATTAAATAGTAGTGAAAGAATATGTATAAAATTTTCATCAAATACATGCAGCAGCAATTTTTATTGTTTTTTTGCTTTGGGAAACCCAAAAATAAGGGTTCTACCTTTACTTTTCTTTCCTATACTTCTTTTTAAGGATTTTCTTTCCTCTTGATATGTTACTTGTTGATTTATAAAAGATGCACATGAACATGATAATAATTATAAAAGTATAAACTGAAAAATTAAAATCTATCATCCCAGAATGCCTGAGTGGCTTAGTTGGTTGAGCGTCCAACTCTTGATTTTGGCTCAGGTCATGATCCCCAGGTCATGGGATCAAGCTCCATGCTAAACGCAGAACCTGCTTAACATTCTCTCTCGCCTTCTGCCCCCTCCCCCAGTCTTGCTCTCTCATTTCTTCTCTTAAAAAAAAAAAATCTATCTTTTCTTCCCAACCCAGGCCCACTACCCCAAATGATATCATATGAACTCATCAATTTACTAAATAGGATAAACTTAATTAGGCAAAATAGGAGAATAGCTTTTTTATTCTTCTATTGCCTTCAAACATGTTTGGTCTGCCCCTCTCAGTGTTAATTTAGGCTAATTCCTAAAAAAGTCAACAACTGGCCTACAATCACACCTTTCATATGCAAACCAACCAATCCATAGCAGGTACCCCAACCACCTCCTTTATCCAACTGTCAAACTTAAGGCCACTATCCCCCTGCCCTACTCATCCCAGGGCCAGGTGCCAAACAACTAGGGACAACCCCATGCCCGGAGCTCTTCAAAATTATTCATACTAGGAGTGATATCAGCAAGATAGCCAAATAAGACAACCTCACTAGTATCTACCCCACCTCAACAATTTGGCATCTGTACAATGTCTTTAGCTCCCAAAAGTGCCTTTGTGGGAGCTGTGGGATTTAACACCACATGCCAAGGGACCAGGGAGGAGTCTTGCCACATCCCACACCCACCCCTATGCTATGAGTAACAGGCATACAGTCCTTGGCTCCAGCTGTGGACCCCAAAGTAGACCATGAACCAGTTCCAGCCTCTCTTGGCAGTGGTCTGGGAGGCCCTGGAGAACACTGTCTTGGACAATGACTCACAATTGAGAAATCTTCGTGGAACGCAGGTTGACAGCAGAGATGTTGCAGTTTGGATCACTGGAGGAAAAATCCAAGTTTGGATACATTAGAAAACATAAAAGGAATAGTTTGACTTTATCAACCCTCCCCTCCCCCAAGACATCACAGGTGATTTTTCTGCATGGGGTGGGGTAATAAAATGAGAACGTGTGGGTAAATCCCTGGCTCCCCCAGCTATGCAGGATGCTGCCAATGAGACCCATTTCTCTCTCACACCAACCCAAGTTAAATTATGAGCTACATGACTCAGGGGTAGGGAGTGACTGGGAAAGAGGTAGATGGGACTCTTGAGGGCATTAAAGATAAACAGATACTCCTAACCATGTCACAGATTATATCAAGAAGCTCACCCACAAACCCGAAGGACCCCTTGCCCTCAGATTTTCCCATATGGCATCCCCAGCACTCCATATACTTCACACACACATGTGCATGTGTGCGCGCGTGCACACACACACACACACACACACACCCCTGTGGTCAGCTCTCCATGTGTGCTCAAAATAGTAATGAGAGTTAATTTTGATAGACTCAGATAAACTTAGATATGAAAGAGGAGACATTACAATTTATACCACAGAAATAGGGGGGATCTTAACAGACTACTAGAAACAATTATATACCAACATATTGGATAATCTACAAAAAAAATGGATAGCTTCCTAGAAACATACAACCTACCAAAACTGAATCATGAAGAAATAGAAAATCTGAACAGACTAATACCAAGGAGATATCAATAATCAAAAGCTGCCCAGCAAAGAAAAATGCAAGACCAGATGGTTTTGCTGGTGATATTCTACCAAACATTTAAAGCATTTACACCAGTCCTTCTCAAACTCTTCCAAAAAAATTCAAGGGCAGAAAACATTTCCAAACTCATTTTATGAGGCCAGGAATACCAAAGCCAGATAAGGACAGTACAAGAAAAGAAAACTTCAAGCCAATAATCCTGATGAACATAAATGCAAAAAATTCTCAACAAAGTATCAGAAAACTAAATTCAACATCATATTAAAAGGATCATACAGTATAATCAAGTAGGATGTATTCCTGGGATGCAAGGATGGTTCAAAATATGCAAATTAGTAAATGTTGAAACATCACATGAATAGAATGAAAGAGAAAACAGATGATCATCTCAATGGATGTGGAAAAAACATTTGCCAAAATTCAACATTCATTTATGATAAAAACTCTTGACAAATTGGGTATAGAGAAAAATGACCTCAACATAATAAAGGCCATATATTACAAGACCTCAACTACTGTCATACACAACAGTGAAATGTTGAAAGCTTTTCCTCTAAGATCAGGAACAAGACTATTGTGTCCACTCTCATGGCTCCTAATCAATATGATACTGGAAGTCCTAGCCAGAGCAATTAGACAAGAAAAAGAAATAAAAGGCATCCAAACCACAAAGGAAGAAGTAAAATTATATCTATTTGTAGATTATATGATCTTATATATAGAAAATCCTGAAGACTCCAGCAAAAAACTGTTAGAGCTAATAAACAAACTCAGTAAAGCTGCAGGATACACAATCAATATACAGAAATTAGTTGTGTTACTATATACTTACAATTAAATACCTGAAAAAGAAATAAAGAAATCAATCTCATTCACAATAGCATCAAAAACAATAAAATACTTAGGAATGAATTTAACCAAGCAGGTGAAAGATCTGCTCACTGAAAACTATAAGACTGATAGAGAAATTAATAAAGACACAAATAAATAGAAAAATATCTTATATTCATGGATCAGAAGAATTAATATTATCAAAGTGTCCATATTCCCCAAAGCCATCTCTAGATTTAATACAATCCCTATCAAAAGTTCAATGATATTTTTTATAGAAATAGAACAAAGTATTTTAAAATTTGTATGGCACCACAAAAGACCCCAAATAATCAAAACAATCCTGAGAAAAAGGAGCAAAGCTGGAAGCATCCTGCTTTCTCATTTCAAAGTACATCACAAAGCTATAATAATTAAAACAATATGGTACTGGTATAAAAATGAACATATAAATCAGTTAACTACAATAGATCCTCACATATATCGTCAACTATGATTTGGCAAGGGAGCCTCAATGGCAAAAGGATATTCTCTTTAATAAATGACATTGGGAAAACTGGTTAATCATATGCAAAAGAATGAAATTGAACCTCTACCTTACATCATGCACAAAAATTAACTTGAAATGGATTAAAGACTTAAACATAACACCTGAAACTATAAAACTCCTAGGAAAAAAACTGGGAAAAATTTCCTTGACACATCTTGGCAATGACTTTTTGGATATGACTGCAAAAGTACAAGTAACAAAAGCGAAAATAAACAAGTGCAACTAGATAAAACTTAAAAGCTTATCACAGCAAAAGAAATAATCAGCAAAATGAAAGGCAACCTATGGAATGTTAAAGAAATATTTGTAAGCCATATATCTGTTAAGGGGTTATTATCCAAAGTATATAAGGGACTCATACAACTCAATAGCCAAAAAGCAAACAGTCCTATAAAAATGGGCAGAGGGCCTGAATAGGGACTTTTCCAAAGAACACACAAATGGCCAATATATACATGAAAAGATGCTTAATATCACTAATCATCAGAGAAATAAGATATCCACAATGAGATACCACCTCACACTCATACCTACCTGTTAGAATGGCTATTATAAGAAAAAAAAAAAAAAGCAAGAAATTAAGGATGTGGAGAAAAGCGAACTCTTGTGCACTGTTGGTGGGAATGTAAACTGGTACAGCCAATGTGGACCAGTATGGAGGTTCCTCAAAATAGTAAAAATAGAACTACCACATGATCTAGTAATCCCACTTCTGGGTATATACCCAAAGGAAATGAAATCAGGATCTTGAGGAGATATCTGCACTCTTATGTTCATTGCAGTATTATTCACAATAACCAGAATACGCAAATAACCTAAGTGTCCATCAACAGATGAATGGATTAAGATGTGGTATATATACACAATGGATTATTATCTAGCCATGAGGAAGAAGGAAATCCTGTCACTCGTGACAATGATGAACCTTGAAGACACTGTGCTAAGTGAAATAACTCAAGACAGAGAAAGATAAATATGATATGATCTCACTCACATGTACAATCTAAAAACATCAAACTTAAAGAAATAGAGAGCAGAATGGTGGTTACCAGGTATCCTGAGGATTTGGGGAAGGGGATGATGTCAGTCAAGACATACAAACTTCTAGTTATAAGGTGAATAAGTTCTGGGGATCTAGCGTACAGCATGATGACTGTAGTTAACGATATTGTATTTTATACTTGCAATTTGCTAAGAAAGTAGATCTTAAATGTTCCTACCACAAATAAAAAATGCAATTATGTAAGGTTTTAGAAGTTTTAAATAACTCAAATTTGGTAATCATTTCAAAAATATGGAAGTGTATCAAATCATCACATTTTTCCTTAAACTCACACAATGTTATATGTCAAACATATCTTCATAAAGTTGAAAAATAGGGGCACCTGGGTGACTCAGTGGATTAAGCATACAACTCTTGTTTTTGGCTCAGGTCATGATCTTGCAGTTTGTGGGTTCAAGCCCTGCATCGGGCTCTGCACTGACAGCACAGAATTTGCTTGGGATTCTGTCTCCCTCTCTCTCTGCATCTCCACTGCTCACTCGCTCTCTCACTCTCTCTCTCGCTCTCTCTCAAAAATAAATACATAAACAATGAAACTTTTTTAAAAGTTGAAGATTTAAAAAAATTATTAAAGCTAGCAAGTTCTAAAGCTCTCATTCCTCACCCTTTCCTTCCCACAGAAAACACAATGAATCTCAAGCCACATTTTAACCCTTCCCTCAGCCTGCTGATGGACACTGTGCTTCTCTGTGTGCCCTGCATGGTGTGGCAGGGCCCCTCTTCTTGGGGGTTGTAAGTACAACAAACTGTCTTTTCAATGGCAATCATCTCCTGATCTGTTTGCCTTACTATATTTGAATAATAATAAAACCTACATTCTAAAAGAATGTCTCATCAGATTTGTCTTCTTCATATTTTAACCAATATCCCAAATAGATCTCATAGCTGTCCTGCCACTTTTATTAGAAAAGTCTTGTTTTTGGATTTTGGAATGTTACTCTAGTTTGAACAAAAATTTTTACCTCTCATCCATTTTAAAGTTTTTCCCCTTTCTCCAGGTCAGGCCTGGTCCAGCTCAAGGCAACCGTGGAGAAAGGCAGAATGGTCTCGCTCCTTCTCTTCTCTTCCTGCTGCTGGATCATCCAGGAGCAGGGGAAGGAATAGGAGGCATTAGCAAAAGGAGCAAAGGAATTCTTGTCTAGACCATATTGGTGGTGGTTCTTTGGGCAACAGTAATTGCCCATATCCTCTGTTGTGGCAGATGCTCATCGGGAGAATTAATAAACAAAAATCATACACAGAACTATAAATACCTCCAAACTATACTATTTCCTGACTTAATTCACCTTCCAGCTGACCTCTTGTCACCACCCCTCCCCAACACTGCTTTTGGCATTATACCCTGTAGCCTCTTTCTTCTGATGTCTCCCCCACCATGGCAGGTAGCTCCTCAAGATACCTGGAGCCTGGCTATCTGCCCAGCATCCACATGACCCACAATAACTCAGGCACTTTTATCCTCTGAATGATAGAAGTGTAGTTTGCTCCCACTGCTGCCCTCTGCTGCTACAGGAAACTTCAGCCAGCATCTCTGGGTCTTCAAAATTCTCAATTAAGAAATGAGCACCCATCTCTGAAGTCATCTATACCCTCAAACTCCAGAAAATATAGATAAGCTCTCCTAAGAATTCTCTCCCCAAACTGTTCCAGTGCCATAGAGCTGATCCCATCAGAGATGAGAAACTAGTCAAAGATGGCTCTATGCTTGATTATGGGAGAGGAAATTCCCATGAGTCATCACAGACATCTGTACCCCCATAAGTAGCCTTCTCTTATGTAGGCTGCTGGGGTAACGATTACTGTACCCATCTCGCTACCTCT